ACCGATTAAACGGACAAAAAACATTGATATTTTATGAACTGGTGTGTTGAAAAGTGTCTGTGGTATTGTCGACAATCAGCCAATCCCTTATCTGACGTTTTTTTTTCTACACGTTGTCGTTGTATTTAATCTATTAACATACACAGAGTTTATCTTGGGTGTTTTATTTTTATCACTTTGCCAGTCATGTAATGTTTACAAAATTGTAGAACCATCTTATTTTCTACTAAATTATATTTAAAGAAATTTCTTGCTAGTTAACAATTCATGAAGACATTTATTTTCCTGTTTTATTGTACATGAAATACAATACTCGGACAGGAATTTAATTATAATGCAATAATCATGTTTGTACAACTTAAACGTGTCTACAGAAGATGCGATATCGTACAGAAACGTAATGATTACACGAAAATTGATTAATTAAACTGCACAATGACTAAGGTCAAAGGTTGATCTCGATCACAATATTCGTGCTGTACCTGAATGAGTAGGCGGTTCCTCTATGTTGACATACAAATACGATCCCGTGGTTATGGGACTACCCTAAATAACAACAATAAATGGCCCCTCGACGTTCCTTTTCGCTCTCGTACAACATTTGGGCATATTGACTTAGGACACGAATAACAAGGTATACATGTATATTTTTTATATTATTTTATATATTTTCCTTTTGAATAAAGCTTATAAAAACAACGAAAAGTTAATGTTTTACTGGGCTTAACTTTAAATAAACGAATGGATTAATAAATTAATAAATAAAATAAATTTTCAATTTATTGAAAGAGACACTTAGCTGGATATTTAGATGTTTCAATGTTAATTTTTGAAGTGAACAAGTTTTTAACGATACTTGAGTTAAGATAAATTAGGGAAACAAAACATGTTATGAAGCAGGATACAATTGTTTTTGATTACGGTTTATGATTTCCTGTCCAGCAATTTGTTTGTGGTATACATACTTATATTTGATCACATAGGCAATGTTAGAAGGAACTTACTCAGCTATTTATCCTTTTCATAAAACATATACGAAACATAATCACTAATACAACGAAGTCAGGAAGCACCTTTTAAAACTAATTAGTCAGTTGATGAAGAAAGCCAAACATAATACATATAACCCACCAAACATTATCTAGAGTATTAAAAACATAGGAATTCAACGTTCTGTTGAGCCGAAATAAAACTGGGTTTTTCAGCACTTTTACCTTTCTTTCTGCTTACTATTTTTAAAGTATCCTAACAAATGTATTCCGACATCTCAACAGTTTAATTTATCACAAAACTGCAGATGTGAGGACTTCGGCAAGCACCTGCTGGTTCATTTAAAACAAAAATGTTTTGTTGATATGTAATCAAGAACACACATACAGGTATCATTTTTGTCCCCTTGTAGAAAAATATAATTTTAAAAATATGCTGAATTTTTGGTTATGTAGGACAAAGGAGGAAAGGCTGAATTATTCAAGTCTTCTATCATCTTATTTAAAAACTTTATTTCTAAGCCATATGATAAAATAAAATTATATAATGATAAATGATAAATTATTCATTAAAAAATATTTCCTCACCTTAGTCATTTCTATCGAAGCATTATTCTCGGTCCCTGAACTGTTATAAAAATGTTAATATGAATAGCATTTTGTATAATCACAAACACAAGCACACTCAGGACAATACCAATATGAGATTGACTAATATGTTTACGTTTTTGACAAAGATCATTACCAACACATTCATAGTAATAGGCATCATATAAGTAATGGTGATATATAAACTAGTGTAAATCTGTACCTCAATCCGAGTCTAATATACTTACCGTGAAAGGGTGAAATTTGCACACCGACATTTGTAGTGAAGTATTCAGTTTAATGAAAATGAATATGAGACAAAAATACACCGAGTACTGTACAACAGGAGCTGTAAAATTGCCATAATGCCATCTTAATATTTACTGGTATGACATTTCGTTTATATCCTGCACCAAGTTACATTAGAATTAATCTTAAACATCCAAAAATACTCGCTTAATTTTGTTTAACAAGAAAAGTGTGAAGTAAATAGAATATCTTTACTTCCGATAGACATTCAACTGTTAAAAGCTTAGAAACTTCTCGAATGTTGTTTGATTATTTGAAATTAAATCCCTTTTTGATAAAATAAGTAACTATGAATCTGCATACATATCTACACACCTACTAAAATCAGTGCAAATCTCCCGAAATCATTGACAATGTTTAAAACAATTTAAAATTATAAAAAACAATGAAGATATAAAAAACGGAACAATAGATATATAATAAAACTTTTCTCAATAATTTAAACGGTAACATGATGTATATCTCTCATATTACAATATATCTATTTATTTTAGCTTCTTATGCTGTCTAACTATATTGTTAAAAGTATACAATTATATTTCCAAGTTTTAACTTTTTTGAAATGTTCCGCTATGTGTTCAACTATGAATATTTATAATCGACAACTTGACACTATTGTGTACAGCGATATTTTTCTGTGAGAGTATCGTTACTCGAGTCATATAAAGATGCTGACAATATTTGCACTTGTAATGGCACGCGTCATCGCCCAGTGAACGATGCCTTGGGGACAACACTAGGAGAACGATTCAAATTTCACATAATAGGATGTAATTATTTCCATTTTGCTGGTGAAATCGGATAAATTGTCCTTCCGTCAGCCGCGCGGTGATCGGTCCTACTCGCGTTATACATCTATAATCAGGCAAGCACTAATTAGCCCGAAAGGGCCGAAATAATAAAAACAGGAATACTTGTTTAAACACAAAATGTTAATATTTTTAAATAATTTCTTAAATAAAACACGTTTATTTTTGAAGGATGATACGATGTCTTTTGAAAAGAAACAAAGAAATTCTATTAAGCAAATACTTCAGATTCTGTTGCCATATCAAGCAACACTTTCCACAAAATTATGATATGTTTTGTTGATTTAAAAAAAAATCAAGATTGTTTTGTTAATTGTTTTTTTTTAAATATCTCTCACAATGGCACACACAGAGATTACAATTGTTTGTGAAACGATTGTAATGATAAATGTATACCAACTATACAAGACAAAAGCAGTGATGGCGTTGGTGCGCTCCGATGAATTATGGTTGTACATCGAAATGTTTTAATCTATTGACTTATGCACACAATACATCTAAAAGAGGACGTTAGATTTTAAATTTTCTTCAGACCAGACATATCTTGCGAGTACGAACGTTTAACTCGTGTATATGATGGATAGAATTTTAAATCGATAAGTAAATGTGAAGAATACAGTGCAAAACACGCCCGTAACAACATTCCAAGTCTAAGTCTTTAGCAACAGACGCGAAGTGGGTGCAACACATCAAAGCTAACTATGGAGATAGCAAAGAATAAAGTCCAGCCGACTGGAAAAGCGCAATCCCTTGTGAGGTTTCCTCAGTAAAATGTGTTCAATTGGCTACCACCCACCGCGGCTACCGTCTCAACAACAAACTTAAGCCCACCTTTTCACATAATGCCCGTGTATCACAAATTTACAAGTCACAAAAACGCTTAAGTTTCTTAAAATGTACTAATCCTTCTACAAGCTTTTATTCGAAGTCGATAACCGTTGCAAATTATGCATTATGGCTCACAAAGGAGTCAATTCCATGGCCCTAAAGCTGTGTTGACGTCCGAATATGTTAAGCGTCCCGGTCCCTGTATATGATAAAAGCGAGTCAAAGCTCACGGACACAAACAATGTTACAATTTGGGAGAACTATACGGGACAAGACCTCTCCCCAGTGACAACCTCACAGCCAGTTGGTGGTGCTGTGTTTGTGTTTTGACGATAACATATGCTAATAGCACGCGGATTAATGTGTAAGTGGGGCTTTTGGGTGAAAGCGACCATCTGGAAAAAGTAACCCCGCACCTGGACACATCTCACTGACTCACGGAACCGCGACAGGCTTACAGCATTGCTTCATTTGCCTTCGTTTCTCTTCCTTTATTTTGTTTTTCACACTCTACTCTTTCTTATTGAGATTTTAACACAGACTTTACCAACTATAATCCCATGACAAGACTCTCCTACACTTTGTTCATGTCGTTGGTTATTTTTCTTTAGGATCGTCAGCCATATGTAAAACTTCTCCACAAAAAGACGACGAGATCAAAGCGACTGAGATTTAGGAATAGTTACAGCGTAACGTAGTTTACATTTGATTCCCATAAGACATACCCTAACTGACAAACTAGCACAGATATGACCACACAACCGTGATTCCGGCACACTAAACTTGAATTGCAGGGAAAATATTCAACATATTTAAATTTGTCCATAAAAAATCGATTTCACGTAAAATAAATTTAAACTCTTGAGATCACACAGGTGAGCACATAAGAAATTAGTTCTCGATGAAAATCGTTTATTTTGTTGATGTGTGCTGGCTAAAGCACAGTGTTGTTTACAGATTACACCGGATCTCTGTATAACACATGTTCTAAACATTTAACGTAAGTATCAGAGCAATATTTAGAATATGTCTGTATATTTATTAATAACCGGTTTGGCTTGAATCCTTATATTAAAAAAGCAACGTGTGTAAGGAGTTACAATTTGATAATATGAATCGTGAAGATCAAGTATTAAATGGGATGTAGGCTACATTTCGTCCTTATTTGCCGCACAGATGTTGCTGTAGATAGGGTTTGGTATGGTTGATACCCGGAACACGTTTCCATCACATGAATTGAAAGTGTTGATGTTCTGCTCAATTTTAACACGCTTGAACTATAAAAGGTTTAAAGAGTGAAATAATTGAAGCTCAACGTCGATTTCATTTTTGATATTCCCAATGAGTGCTCTTATTATTTGTTCACAGATTCGTGTGTTGTTTTGTTTGTTACTTTGTTTCGCCAATGAGTAAGCATTATAGACGTTGCTATGTTCTATGCTTGGTACTTACCCTCATTTTGATATTTGGTCGCCAGGATGCCGACGGTGCATAAAGAGATGTGTGCTGGATGTCAGAGGGCAATCGAGGACAGATTCCTACTGAAGATCATGGACAATTCATGGCACGAGCACTGTGTATTATGCTCCATTTGCCAAATGCCTTTAACCGGAAGTTGTTTCGCACGGAATCGGAAGTTTTATTGCAAATTAGATTATGAAAAGTAAGTATATTTATTTTGCATGCGTAGTTTTTTTATTTTGTTTTAAAGCTTATAGAGTCAACCTCAATCATGTTTTTTTTATGAATTCTGTTTTAATATGAACATGTAAAGTAAAATAGAATCCAGAGACGGCTATAATGCAAGCAATGTTGTTATATCAAACTATCAACTAGGAAAAACAAGTAAACAAGGAACTGACACTAGGCGATGAAGTCTATATTGAAATATACAATTGATATGAAACTAAAAATCATAAAAAAATATATTCATTTTGAGACTTAATTCTGTATGGATTGTTTTTCAGACCAGTAATATCTTATGTTTTCGTCATTCTGTTTTGTCACCTTAACATAAAATAATAATAATAAAAACTTTTGGAGAGAAAAAAATGTTGTGCCATTTTTTCGATATTATTTATAAAATAGCTATCACTATATCATATTTGCATGTCATGATTTTATATATTTCCTCTTCTTACACCGGTTGCGACACGGGAACAAACATTTCTTTAAATGAGTTAATTATTCTGTGGTATTTAATAAATATGGAAGCCTGTTAAGCCATAATTTAAGGTTTTCTCTTAAATGTTATTTAGCATTACTCCTAAATAGTGACTGTGCAATTTTTTAAAGTGTTACTCTCAAATTTATTTGTGGAGCGCATCCAAAGAACAAATTAATGTCCTATATGCATTGCCTGTCCACAAAAAAGTTTTTTAAGCAGAATATTAAATACACATGTTTGTCAAATTATTTACAATATTGGTAAGATTGTTTCATTCAGGCTAAAACAGTTATGTTGATATTTACAATGATTTATGAACAAAACTAGACTAAGTACAGGCTGTGATTACAAGTAGTTATGACTAAAACTGGGTTGTAGATATTTACAAGGAGTTATGACTAAAACTGGACTGTAGGTATTTACAAGGAGTTATGACTAAAACTGGACTGTAGGTATTTACAAGGAGTTATGACTAAAACTGGACTGTAGGTATTTACAAGGAGTTATGATTAAAACTGGACTGTGGGTATTTACAGGGAGTTATGACTAAAACTGGACTGTACGTATTAACAAGGAGTTATGACTAAAACTGGACTGTACGTATTTACAAGTAGTTATGATTAAAACTAGGCTGCAGGTATTTACAAGGAGTTATGACTAAAACTAGACTAGGTATTTACAAAGAGTTATGACTAAAACTGGACTAGGTATTTACAGGGAGTTATGACTAAAACTGGACTGTTGGTATTTACAAGGAGTTATGACTAAAACTGGACTGTACGTATTTACAAGTAGTTATGACTAAAACTAGGCTGTAGGTATTTACAAGGAGTTATGACTAAAACTAGACTAGGTATTTACAAGGAGTTATGACTTAAACTGGACTGTATGTATTTACAAGGAGTTATGACTAAAACTGGACTAGGTATTTACAAGGGGTTATTACTAAAACTGGACTAAGTATTTACAAGGAGTTATGGTTTACACTGGTTAAACCTCAGGCCAACAACAATCACATTGATTTTAAAAGATTAGAATGTATGAAATTGATATATGCATTGATGAACACAGAAAGTGCGTATTACAAAATGGAAGTCAGAGTCGGTTAAACGATTGTTTACTAGATACTGCTTGCAGTGTTATAAGACCATAGGTTTTGTTGGTACTGCAGTTACGTATATAACAATACAATGTGAGGATTTTAATTGGATTATGCGAAATATGCTAGGAAATTTCATAAAACAAATAAAAATAAAAAAGCATACACGTGTGTTTTATGTTTGGTTGAAATTATCAACGCAGGTATATAAATGATATGTTTTCGCCCTACCTTCTACGAATTTATATGGTGTACATGTTGTCGTATTGCACATAATTGTATGCGTTTTCACACTGTGGACTTATTCTGAAAATTGACTGTGCGTGTATCGCGGTAATGGCTGGGGTTTGGAATGCTGACATCGATTTGTACAGAATCTGTTATATGTTTACCGATTCAATTAAACATGTGCGATCCTAAAACAAATTGTTTCTACCCCTTGGTTACCGATAACTGCAATTGTTTGGGAATTTATTAACGTGGATCGTCGCAGACTTCGACACCAACCATCTGGGCTTGGCCATCAACGATACGTGGGGTCTGCAGGGAAATTATATTTGACTCTATGCAACTCCTGAAACTGTTGTCAAATAAACGTTTATTTTAAAATAATGAATTGTGGATATTTTTAAACAGTAAATACTTAAAAAGAATAATTTTTTGTGACCTAGCAGTATATTAAAAACAGCAATTGAGGAGTTTAACAAAAGTAGAATTCCCTTCATGAGCCCCTGATGCCAAAAGTATTGACTAAACGCTGTGCAGGCACACGACCGCGAGGTCCGGGAAGAACGGACACGAAACGTGGTGTTTAGTCGCATGAAATATGACATTTCGAAGCGATCGGCGAATTAATAAGGATTAATTATACATCACAGAGAGTTGAAATGAACAAAATTAGAACGATAAATCAAAGATACCCTCATGGAATCCTTCACCTTACGTCAGAGGAACACTCCAACTGCTCGTGACCCCGTTTATAGAGGTTAATACTTAGTACTGTTCTCCGTACCCTAAAGTTGTAAACTAATCTGACATTTTCCATTAATTCTGATAAATTTACTGATTTTAACTAAGTGGGTTGTTGTCCTGTAACTATACCTAACGATTTTAATTCAATTGTTAAAAATGACTTTTTTCGCGCGTGCATTTCGTAATGATAATGTTGTCATTGTCAATTGTTCTGTTACTCCTTTCTACTCTGCATGTCAATACAAGTGGTAAATTAAAATAAATTTAACTGTCGATGTTGTTCAATTAGAAAAAAATGATGTAAGCAGATAATACTTACTTAATACATGTTAATAAAGAGTACCCCTCAATATGAACACAGAGTAACATAAAAACAGGTTATCAACACAGACCTGATCAAGCTCCCAACCTCGTGTTTCTTGAGATACAATTCTTCTTAATGAGACACGAATTTCCTTGACATTTTCTTTGATAGCGTTTATCAATATGAAACTAATTGATTTGTTATACTTTATTTCTTAAACAGTAGAATTTGTAAGTAGTCAACTCTCTATAAAACATATCACATATCGCTCCTCCTTCTCCTAGTGTATTATAGTTCTTATTATTTGGGTTAGACATTCGGGGTTAGGGGTCAGGATTTGATCAAAATGTGTCATAAACCAAAATGAAAGAAATCAAACTGAAAAAGTAGAAACATGTTTAAATGTAACTGTTGCATACCATAATAAATGTTATAAAGAACAATCTAAATCTAAAATGAATGCACCTTTTGATTTAAACTTAGGAATGAATTTTAGAAAAACTAAATAATAAAGTTCTTAAGAGTTCAAAATATGTTTAAAAACATAACCAAATCGCTGTTAACGTTTGATAAAATAAGATTGTTTTACCATACAGCTGTGTAATTTCCCTTCATATGAAAAGACCGTTAATTAAGGCTGATAATACAGTACTGTATTTAATATTTGCTGATTCATTTGCTCAGGGTTGTTGGCCTTTGCGACCTTACATCAATTAGGACTTTCAAGTATATACATTTATATGTGTTATACATTCTCCTAGAAGTGATTAGAACCCTTCAAACAAGTTGCTGTGATATTATTTATCATTATTTACAATAGTGTGGGCAGTGAAATATGCTGGATTATGCAGACAGTCTGTTAAGAATTTAGTTATGGATTCGTCTAAGGGTCCAGTTGTTCAAAAGTCGAATAGCTTTATCATTGTTTAACGACATTTTTCAACTCTAATAACTTGGTAAATAAACAAGGTAAACACTCATTATTTTGCATGTAATTGTACTCTACTGATATTAAATACATTTTTGCCAGTGAAATATCGGATTCTATCAACTTGTTAAAACTGATATCTTTCACACTGTGACAAATATCAAGTGATAGTTTCACACTGTAAATATCACTTTTTGGTATTGACCAATCATAACGGTATCTTCTATTCGCTGCATTCCAAGGCAACGATTTTTTTGTTCAGATTCAAATGAAGCGACGGTAGAATAAGTGGTTGTTATGGTAAATGTTTGGTACACACACTTAAGTATTTACATGAATATACAATTATTAACATTTTCATAAGCAATCACACCAGATAATAGCAGAAAACGTCGGAATTGCGTTGAGTATCCCATTCAAAATGGCGCACAGCCTTGTTGTTAAGCGTGACGTCATTAGAATATGGCGCTAATTATTACGCTTCTGATTCCAGCCCATTATTTTAATGCATTACATTTTTCATGTTTTATGCTTTAAAAATATAAAAGAATAGGAAATTAAATGGTGTCTTAAGTAATAACAAATATATTTCACTCGTGTGGCTAAAATTTTGATATGTTTCACTCGTGATGCGCACTCGTGAAAACTATCAAAATACCACACTCGTGAAATATGTTTGTTATTACTGAAGACACCATTAAATAGCCTCTATATATTTGCTATCTGGGAAGTTTTAATTCAGTTTATGGTTGTGTTCTATGAAACACAAAATAAAAATTGAACCACTGATTAAGCTTGTCACCTTTTGCACAACTTGACCCTGGTGGTTTATTAATCATTAACTTGGGCTTGGTATCTCTGTGTAATTTACAATTATCTGTTGATTTACTTGAAATTAATTAATTTATGGTGTTTGCCTGTAATTTACTTTGTGTTTTGTTCGCAAATTACTTGTGCAAGTTGTTTTGCTAGTAACTGATTTTTAGATGGTGTTTAGATAATTGACCAGTATCTGATAGTTTAATTATGACTGACTAATTTATTAATTTTAGCTGATGTTGTGTTGTTATTTATTATTTACTTCGTATCTAGTGTTTTACCAATATTTGATATGCTGATTGTGATTTGTTTACCAGGAAAAAACTATTTGAATGAATCCAGAGAGTATTCTTTATGTTTTTTTAAAATGTGCC